CAGATCTTAGCTATTGTAAACAGTGCTGCTATGAAAATAGGAGTGCATATATTCTTTCTGATTGGTGTTTTTGGCTTCTTAGGATATATTCTTAGGATATATATTCTATCACTGGGTCAAATAGCATTTTTAATTTTTTAAGGAAACTCCAAATGCCATTTTCATTCTCTAAGCCCATGTTCTCCTTTCTCTATTTTTTTCTTACAGTAGTCCCTTTAACATATCTTGAAATAGTTGTTTAGTGGTAATAAACTTAGTCTTTTTTTGTCTGGGAAGTTCCTTATTTCACTTTCAATTTTGAATGATAGCCTTCATAGATAGAGTAGTCTTGGTTTCAGATATTTGCTTTTCATTACTTTGAATACTTCATGCCATTCCCATCTTGCCTGCAGTGTTTCTGTTGAGACATCTGCTGACAGACTTATGGAAGCACTCTTGGAGTAACTGCCTCTATCTCTCCTGCTGCCCCTATGGTTTTCTCTTTGTCTTTAATGTTTGCCATTTAATTATGATGTGTCTGTGTTCAACTTGATTAGGACACTCTGTGCTTCCTGAATTTGTGTGACTTTTTTCCTTCATCAGGTTAGGGAAATTTTCTTTTACCATTTCCTCAAGCAGCTTCTCTATCTCTTACTCAACTTACTTTCCCTGGAGTACCCCTATGATGTGGATGTTGTTCTGTTTCTTGTTGTCCCATAGTTGCCTTAAACTCTTCTCATGCTTTTTAAAAGTGTTTTCTTTTCTTTTTGCTAATCTAATTTAGTGTTTTTATTTTCTACCATGTCTTCCAAATTTCTGATTCAATCCTCAGCTTCATCAAGCCTGCTATTAATTCCTTCTAGTGTAGTTGTGTTGGCAGAAATATTAGTACTCATCCTTCACTAGTTTTTATTCATGGTTTCTATGTCTTTTTTCATGATGTAGTTCCTACTATGTTCATTGTAGTTATCACTAAGTTCCTTGAGCAACCTTATAACCATTACTCTGAACTCTATGTCTGATAAATTGCTTACCTCCATCCCATTTAGGTCTTTTTTTGAAGATTCCTCCTTTTCTTTCATTTGGAGTTTTTTTTCTTTGTCTCCAAATTTTAGTTGTCTCTTTGTGTTTGTCTCCATGTATAGATATACCTACTATGTCTCCTATTCTTTGTGGGGTGGCCTTTTATAGTAATGTCTGTGGGACCCAGTGATGTGGTTTCATTAAACGCTTGTGCTGGATGCTCTGGGAAAGACCCTTTTGTGGGTTATTTGGGTTTTCATCTGGTAATTGGGTCTGAATTGTTGTTTTCCCATTCTTGGGTGGGATCTTATCTCAGGTTGGCTAACTGTGAGTCTCAATACCTACCACATTGTGTGAACTTTTGTACAGGTCCTGACAGGACAAAACTAACCAGAAAACAAGTGAAAACATACAAAAGAACCAGACAACAATAGCAAAATAACCACAAAGTAGAAGAGAACTGGGAAAGGGAAAAAGAGAACAAGAATAATAAGTGAAAAAGAAAGAAAAAATTAATAATACTAATACAATAAAAATAAAAAGAATACTAGACGAGAAAAGGGGAAGAAAAATTCTTAAAAGAAAGAAGGGAGAGAAACAAATAAGAATAAAAGAAAACCATTAAAAAAGAATAGAAGAGCCCTAACCGGTTTGACTCAGTGGATAGAGTGTTGGCCTGCGTACTGAAGGGTCTCAGGTTCAGTTCTGGTCAAGGGCATGTGCCTTGGTTGTGGGCACATCCCCAGTAGGGGGTGTGCAGGAGGCAGCTGATAGATGTTTCTCTCTCATTGGTGTTACTAACTCTCTATTCCTCTCCCTTCCTCTCTGTAAAAAAATCAATAAAAAATATATAACAAGAATAGAAGAGAAAAGAATTATGAAAAGGTAAAAAGAAAAGAAGAAAGATAAAGTGAAAGAAAGAAGAGAAAACAATAAGTAGAATAAGAAAAGAGAAGAGGCAAATAAGAAATATGAAAGAAACAAGAAAGAAAAGAGAAAAAATAACAACAATAATAATACCCAAACAAAAAAATAATAATGAAACAACAACAACAACAAAAACCCAACCAAGTGAAGTTTGTCTGGACAGATTTCAGTGCCTGCTTGGACTTCCCATTGTATCCTGCTCTTGTGTTGTCTGAGGCTGTTTGTGTGCTGGTTTCAGAACTTCTTGGAGATATGTTTTTGCTAGCCAATGCCAGAAGTTGTCCACATTTAGCTCTTAGCACTCTGTTCAAAGCTTCAAGTGACTCACAGCTTGTGGCTGCCTCCACTGGGCTTGGCTGCCTATGTGAGGGGCCAAGCTGAGCTCCTAGGCTGTTTTTTTAGCATCAGGGAGAAAATGGCTGCTAAAATATTGGAGGGGATGGCTCAGCACAGGTATCCTGGCTGCTGCCCTCTGTGGCTCTCCCTAACTCCTTCCACCCTGTGTCTGCTCTGGCAACTTCAGTATGCACTGCTCTCCCTCTACAGAAACCTCTGGTGAGTGTCTGGAAAGGAAAATCCTCTGTGCCAGCCCTTTAAAAAAGTGGATTTATTGCCAAGGGCTCAGTTCCCTGGCTGATAGGAGCCTGGTGGCTGGCTGCTGTGTGGGTGGCTGATCCCGGCTCTGGGTATCCGGACTTGGGAGCCCTTCCTGGAGTCCAGGCCTCTCTCCTCTCTGGGGGAATCCTCCCCACCATTGGCCCTTTGTTCTTGGGAGCAGGGACAGATCCTTCTGCTTCCCGCCCTTCCTACTAGTCTAGAGGTGGTTTCTGCCCTCCCTTGTTTAAAAGTCTCCTCAGCTTGTCTTCATCTGGTATTTCAGGGTGAATATTCCCCAATTTAGTTTTAATTCCAGTTAGATTTGGGGAGGAGGTGAGAGAAAGGTCCACCTACTCTGCTGCCGTCTTCTAATCCTCAACAGTAACCTTTTACCTTTGGGACTTTGATGAAAGCAATCTTAATAATAACAATAATGTATTATTTTGAAAGCAATCTTAATAACAGTAAATATTACTTTTCCTTTTAGAAGGGCTAATATTCCATCTTCTCATCTGCTTTTTACTTACTTGCCAAATTACTTTTTAAGTTAATTTCCAAAGTGTGTTATCTGGCATTGGCAAACAGCCATTTTTTCTTATATAAACTGTTAACATTTTTTACTTAAACATTATTTAACTTAGACATTATCTATTATTGATTACCTTATTGCTCCGAAATATGTTTGTTTGACTTTAAAAAAGAAACAATCCCTACTTTCTAGACATTGATTATTTCAATATCTTATTTTCTCCCAAAATCAGATGTAAGAAAATAATCCTTTTATTTCTTACTTTATTTTTTTGTTATTTTATATAATACCCATTAGTTACTATTTTTTTCTGTCTTTAACTAATTTAAACCATAGGTAATTTATCTTCCCAAATTCTATTAGATTTTAATCTATTTCAGGGTAATGAGAATAACTGTTTGTCTTTGTCTTCTAGTGCCTGATACATGGTAGATATTCAATAGAAGTTTATTAATAAATGAATGACTGAGTGAATGAATAAATAAATGTGGTATTAGTTTTGATGGAGAGGTTAATATGAGGGCTATTAAGCTTTGTTGTTTAATATATACTGTCTACTGTGTGACAGGATCAGTTCTAAGTCCTTGGAGCAGATGCCAGTCGTGCCCTGTCTGTAGGTCCATTTCCCCTTACCATTTGGGCGAATGAGATCCGGTCTTCCAACAGCCTGCAGGAGAGGTATTGTCAGAGGGCTGCCCTCAGCACGAAGGATCCACTCTGCTCAGGTGTAACTTGGGCAGGATGAGTGACTTTTTTAAAAGACAAAAGCAAGAGAAATGTGAACATAACCTTTGCATGAAACTTCAGTAATGAATATGAATGTTTTGCTTCACATATATTTTTTTTAAATATAAGTAAAATAAGAAAATGGTGTAATTGTTACCAAGTGAAGGCAGCTTTTCACAGCACAAATTATAGTTTGGGAACAGAGTTGTATCTTTTGATTTTTTTAAAAGTTCATGCAGATAACTACTATATAGAATGAGACCTCTTTAGACATTTCATTTGTGAAGGCAGTGAGTTTAAAAAAATGTCCCTTAAAAATACTGGATTATGAAAAATAATATAAATCAGACACCTTATAAGCTAAATTATACACTTTACATCTATATGAGAAGATAAAATATTCTTGGATAAGATAAATATTTTTCTGGAGTCACATTGAGAGGAAAATTATATGTAAGGAAAATGTGATTATATGAAATATGGGGAATTTGATGGCCTTGAGTAAAAACTCAAAATCTAGAAATATTCTAAAGAAAGCTGCAATTCTTTTTTTAAAAAAAATATATTTTTATTGATTTCAGAGAGAAAGGGAGAGGAAGAGAGAGATAGAAACATCAGTAATGAAAGAGAATCATTGATTGGCTGCCTTCTGCACACCCCACATTGGGGGATCAAGCCTGCAACCAGGGTATGTGCCCTTGCCTGGAATTGAACCTGGGACCCTTCAGTCCACAGGCCAATGCTCGCTCCACTGACCTAGGGCGAGAAAACTGCAATTCTTAAAATTGAAAATTGGTGCGGGTCAGTTTGTTAAAAAAGTGTTAAATGTGAGGCTTAACAATAAATGTGGAATCTTATGTCCATTTTTATAACCGTCATATAATGCTTGTGTATATTCTGGACAGAAATGTTACTTATGGGGCAATAATGGAATATATGAGAGCTTTTACTGTGGCCACAGCACTGTGCTAGAGTAGTTTTGTTTCTGAATTTGGTAGCATACTTTAGATAAAGAAAGGAACTTCCCTTACTTGAAACTGCTGTGTCATTTCTTCTTCCTTAACTGAAATCCCAACCAAGGTTCAGGAAATGCCCTAATGAGCCACTTCTCTTTTCTCTTTCCTCCACTAACCGGATTTCAACCACTCCAAATTATTCATGATCAGTTTTTTTACTATGGTTGTCTCTTTGGCATGGTGCTTATGCTATGGGAAGAGGGGTTATACTTTGGTGCTGTTTGTAGAAGTGATAACAGTGATAGAATCCAATCATTGCTGGTAGGTAACTAAACTAGCAAGTTAATCTTCTGTACTTTAAACAAACGCTGAAAAGGAGTCTAATCAATATCTATTTTACTTTGATATGTGTGGCTTGTTTATAATGGTGGTTTCATTTTGCATGATCAGTAGGCATCAGGATATTAGAGTAGTTAACTGTAGTTTGCTGTAATTTGGGTAAAATATATCTGAAATTCAATGTCTTATGCTAACAAGATGGAGAAATCACTGTTTTAGTTCATGATAACCAAAGCAATTTCTTCTTCCAGTTTGATAATCTCAATTATTTATTAAGTTGCAACATAATTTAACATTTTATGGCATCTCATATATTATTTTATGAGTAAATGTTAATTTCTGTTTATATTTTAACAATATATATTTCATTGGCTTTTAAATGTAGGAAAATATTACTGCTCATAGCAGAAATAACACCAGATAGTACTTTAGCATATGGTATTTTCCTGGGGTTAAATGTTCTTTTGGGTTTATAATGAAGATTTGGATCCAGAAAATTTGTGTAGGAGATGTTAAGAATTCCAAAGCAATAATTGTTTACAGTAATAGTTTCAATTATAATAATGAAACTTGGAGTGGAAACATGAAAGTTATATATATGAATATATACACATACCTATCTGCACATGTATTTTATATATATTTGTTTAAATGAATAATAGTTTCATACTTTTAATATTGTCTTAAAATGTTTTATTGGAAATAGACATTTTGAGAAAAATAAACCTGTTATTATCTTTAATTCATTTCAGGTAACATATTAGTAAGTTGCTTATTAGAAACTTTATTTAAACTTAAAGAGACGGACAGAAACTTCACAATTCTTCCCTGCTCAGACTGTATCAACAAAGCAAAGTGAAACAGAATATGGAGTTCATTATCAAGATTTTTCAGTCAGTCCTGCTTCACTTCTATTTTAGATGAATCTGAACATAGTTTTATACTTTTGAATAGCTTTTGAATTAGTACTAAATCCTTTATTATTTTGGTGGACACTATCTTAAAGAAGCCAAACTTTGTGATATCCATCCTCAGAATTAAAAAATATTTTTTAGCTATAAAGCAAATGGAATATATATAATTTTCATATTTTTTTATTTCTTTGGTTTTAATTATCATTATAATCATTTTTAATTTTCAGTTCCATTCCAAAGAAGTATGTATGAGTAAATTTTGTTGAACTGAAACTTGGATCTGATGTCAAAAATAAAATAAGCTGAAAAATGTTTCTTAAAAGCCAGCTTAATTTTAATGATTGTGGCACAAGTTTTTGTTATAAGTTCTAGAAAGACAAATTATGAGGCCTTTAAATATGATGCACATTTCCCGTATAAGTAAAATTTTTTGAAATTATGGTAATTAACACAGTGGACATAGAAAATAAATTTGAAAACAGTGGTTTAAGTAGCTATACAGAGGAAATAAGGGAAGGAAAAAGTGAAAAAAAATATTATCCAGTAATTCCAAACAAACTAATGAAATATGTTTCAAAGGGAATGATAGCTATTGATAAAATAATGAATATATGACACATGTGGAAATGCAATCATTCAATTCTTTATAAGTCAACTTATAAATAAAATTTTATGAAATCAGCTAGACATGCCAGATTCTTCATGGAGATAAATTTAATTAATTTTATAGTAAAAAGAAAAAAAATAGATTAAGCAATGGAGTGAAAACATATCCAGAAAGTTAATGTTTACAAATAGCAGTTCACAATTTTTTATTTTTTACTATTTGGCAAAATAAAACAAATGTATAAAGCAAAATATAGTTCCTGTGCAGGTTTTGCTGATTATATTTATTTAGGTCAGAAAGAAGAATCTGTGAGGCATAGAGCGGATGTATGAGCAAAGCTGAAAGAATCACACGTGTCCTCAAAAACATAACCTATGAGGGAAGAGCTTAAAAGTAGTCTTGCAGAAAAAATGAATAACAAGAAACTAATGTACAGAAGTGTTTCTTATTTTATAGAGTTGTCAATTACCAACCAGTTACAGAATCTGTGAGTTGGGGTGGAGGTGTTTGGCAATATATCAACATCTGCCAAATATTGCTTTGCCTATGAGATCTAGAGAATGACAGATAATTTTGTGATTCTGTTAAATTTTATTTTTGGAGCATAGAAAGCCTAGATAACTGTATCAACAAAAATAGAATAGTGTGAGAATGTATTACAGGTAGTTTACGTTAAACATTAGGAAAACTGGAGGAATCATTATTGAAAAGCGAAATAGTAAGGTAGTTTGTGGAATTTCCTCAGGTGACCTGTTTTAAGAATAGATTGATCAAGAAGAGAAAGCCCTTCTTTCTGATTTTGTAATTGCTCTCAGGATACAGAAAGAGATTGAGGCTAATGATTTTCACTTTTCTTTTTTCTCTCTTCAGTTATGAAAGAATAGGTGGAATTCAAAAGTAGAATTTAAAATTCTTACACAACAATTTCAAATAAAAGAAGCAAAGAGTCTAGGAAATAGAGATTGAGTTTTAATAAGGATTCCCCTGCCTCCTTCATATTCATACCATGTGAGAATGTTTCAAATCTTCTCTCGCCTCTCCTGTAACACTCCTCCTCAGCCTGCATACTAGAACAGAGTGTGGTTCACTCTCTAGCTTCTTCCACTGGCCAGAGATCCTTCCATTCCGCCCTTCATTCCTTTCTTATTTCTTATTGTGTGAACATGTTTCCAATACAGAAGTTCATATGCACATGAACAAATTAAATTCTGAAACATACTCAGCTTCCCTTAGATATATTTCCATCCAGATAAAAATTTGAGCCAGAACTTTCATATATATTTTTCTATATCCTTTTCTCCCTCTTGCCAAAACTCATTCTCTCCAACATCTTTTCCCACTCCCCCCAAATTTAGACCAGTGCAGGCTACATTGAAGATCTGGCAGCTAATGATCTCATCAAGTGTCTTCAGGGAATTTTTCAGCAGCTAAGATGTTTACACTCTGCTTCTTTTGACCCTGTGCAAATTCAAATGGATTTGACCCTACTGAACAATCTGAGGTCTGTAACAGTTTTGTAAGCAGCAGTTTTTTTTTTTAACATCAGACTTTACATTCTGGTAAACTTTTAGGTTTCTTAATTAATCGTAGTCTAAGAGGCATCATCCTTTAGTTATACTCTCGAATGTTTCTCTCCACTTAATCACTTTTCCTTTTCTGTAGCTTATTATTGCCCTTCACATGTGAAAGGCACTTCTCGAATGATGGATACTTTTATCATTCCATCAGTACTATACCTACTATTATATGTTCTTCGCATAATCATATCAACCTCCTCTACTCTTTCTCTGCTCTCAAATTTTAAAACATCGATAGTTTTTATTGCAAATAAAAAAAACCCCACTTTTTATTAGCTTTTTGAATGCTTATTGTGGACATGTAAGTGTAGAAACAAGTCAGGGGCGGAGTCTGCCCCAATGAGATGACTGATAACCTCATCCTCTGGAGAATGTAGACAATGTGTGATTTTGTCTTGAGCAATCACTTAGTTAATATCTCTATGAGTTTGCTTAAGTTTAAGGTATAAGTAGAGGCGTGTACCAGGTGCCCCACTAGGTTTTGAGGATAAGCTATGTCAGATATATTACCTGCCAAGGAGCAATTGCATTTCACAAATTAATCAATCTGGAAAGTGCTACAAAAAGTGTATATGAATTTGCTATTATCTGGGGTTTTGCAACCATCAAAAATATGAAGGTTGAAGTAGGTATTGAAAAATAATGAGCTATTTTCTAGGCAAGAAAAGGGCAAGAGAAAGACATCAAAGCAAAAACTAGCATGGAGGTGTACAGAGCATGGCACATCCAGTGGTCTTTGATTAGAGCTTGGGATCTTCACGAGGGGAGTAGCTTGATCTGACTGTGTATCAGTGGGATATCTCTGTCCATTTGGAACACATACTAGAGTCCTGAGTTTTAGATTTTATTTATAGAGTGTATCTGCTGTAAGAGAGCAAGGACAAACATGTGTCTCTGGATAGGACTTCGCAAAGCGGTTGTCCCCCTGGCAAGAACAGAAGACAAGTATTTGGCTAAAAATATGATAGAACCTATTTCATAAGAAAATCAAAAGTGATGGGCTATGTCATTTTTCACTTTAGAAAGAAGTACTTAAATGGAACATGGGTGACTCCCAAAGCAGTGGAACAAGCAAATATTTGCAAGTGATTTAGTCATTTCTTTGTGGTTGCTTGGCTTAGTCCTGATAGAACACACTGTGAAATAGGAAGTCAGTTCAGCATTTTTAGCTTGCTAATTTTCCATGTGACTTTGAGTAAGTCTCTCTTTCTCTCTCTCTCTCTCTCTCTCGGCCATGTGACTTTGAGTAAGTCTCTCTCTCTCTCTCTCTCTCTCTCTCGTGTGTGTGTGTGTTTGTTGAATATTTTCAGTTAAATTAATATCTATGTTTCTGTGTGGAGAGCGAAGGACTGGGATTTGGACTGAGTGTGAAGGAAGAGTCTAGTCGTGTTAGAGTTAGGTCTGCTGTGCCTGAAGAGCAGCGCTGCATTATTCCTGGGATGCTCAACTTATACTGAATATGGGAGCTCTCAGATTGGAAATACAGCTCAGTGCCTAAAGGTAGGACCTCTCTCCTTCTTCCTATAAGACCCAGGATCTCACATTTCGGATAGATTTTCAGAGCATGAAGGATAACCATAAACTACTATTTAATGGCCTTTCTTCCCATAATACCTTCTTCTGAAAACAACCTCGAAGGATGTTACCTTAGCACAGAGCTCTCAGAGCAAAATTAAGTATAAAATGAATTTGGGAAGTAACCTTTAATTTGTGGGGTTTTTTTTTTGTTTTCTTTTTCTTTATAGGTCCCTCTGCTCTTCCATATTTTCTAAAAATATATTGCCAATTAATTTGTTTCAACATGAAACACTGGTTATACTAAGTAGCATCTAAATTCACTTATATTCAGTCCGTTTGGACACACTCAGTGAAATGCATGACAAAACTCGCTGTAGTTTTCTAAATACAAAACAGCAACAACAAAACAGCAAGCAAAGATATTTCAAAATACACTAGTAGGAAATAATTTACAAAATAAATGTATACACTAAAATAATAAGTCCTCTCCTGGGGATAAATGTGAGTCAGTAAATGCTAACTTGCTTGAGTAGCAGTCATCTTAGAAGAGTTTTAATCAGTATCAGTATCAGCTATATTACCTGAAATCTTTTCTCTGTTCTCCACCCGTTGATAATAGCTAACATTGACTGGGCTCTAGTCAGGGACTAAAAGGCATGTATCACCTCTTTTGAGTCTGATAATACCCTTGAGGCAAAAGCTGTTATCTCTATTGTTCAGAAAGGTGAGTTTTCGGAAGGATACTTAACTTTCCAAAGGTGGCCAGTGAGGAAGTGATGGAGCAGAGACTTGGATCTAGGTCTGTGTGGTGCTTAAACATAGGTAAATTATGCAATCATTTTTCCTCCCACTTTTAAATTTAAACTTCATCTTTGTTGTTCTTTTTCATTCATTTTGAACCAGAGCCGATCTTTATGCCACTGAAGGAAAACAGTTCAAGAGAGAAGGGTTAGGGAAAATCAGAAAGTGCTGTGATGCTAAAAATGGTTCCTAGGCTTATGTATGGATAATGAGGTCTTTGACTGTGTTACATTTGCAAAAATAGCAGTTGCAGAGGTAACAAGGGACCAGAATAGATGGCTCCAATTCATAAAAGAAAGGGGCAGAGTGAAGACACTCATTAATGTTGAAGCAGTAGAAGGATAACTAGTGACAAATATCAAGTAGATTTGCTTCAGTTTGGTCAGAGAAAGGTCATTGATTATTTTTGGTTAAACTGGTTCACAGAGGCCAGGTCTCCACTAAAAAAGGGAATTAATTGCTTCCATTTCCCACTAATTGCCTCAACATTTCCCTTTGCTTTGTCATTGGAGATTTGGTCAGACAGGCAAAAAGTCAAAAGTCAGAGTTTGATGGAATCTACATAAAAAGGGAATCTGAGGAGACCAAATTATGGCATTTGGTGTAGTAATGATAATGATAGTTAGCATTTTTTCCTGGGAGTGCTGTAGATTTTTAGAGACCTTTTCAATCTTTAATCAGACCGTAGGGCACATTTAAGAGAGTTCACTGTTTTTATTTCCATCTAGAGGATAAGGCATCACAGAGAGATGAACTAACCTAGGGCAAGTCTCCTGAGATGTTAATCCTACAAATTGGAGTATACTCTCCTAATGTTGAGTTTTAGCTGGAAGCTTGGGCTCTTCCCCATTATCATTCATTCAAGTTCCTTCAGAGTTTTTAGGGTTTTTGTACATTATTATCAGATTACAGCCTCTACCAATGACTGAAAAATCAGCAAGAAATAGTGTGGAAAGTTTTGATGTTACCACAGTTGCTTAGTTTGAAGGCTATTAATTGATGCTACAGCCATCTTCAATTAACAAGACATTTGCCTGGCTCGTGTGGTTCAGTGGCAATCTAGGAACCGAGAGAGGTCATGGTTTGATTCAGGGTCAGGGCACATGCCAGGGTTGTGGGTTTGATTCACTGTGGGGTATATGCAGGAAGCAGCAGATACCTAATTTTCTCTTGAGTTGATGTTTCTATCTCTCTACCCCTCTCCTTTCCTCTCCTCCTCTCAAATCAATAAAAAAGTTAACAAATTAACAAGACATTCTACTTTGTATTTGCTGAATTAACCAGTCTTTGAAATCTTGTCCAGCTCCACCACCACCCTTTGAGATATGTGAGTTTTATATTTCAGACATTTTGCTTTACTCTTTTGGAACACGGAGTGGCGATATAGATAGTGGAAAGAACATGGGCTCTGAACATGATAGATCAGTGTTCAATCATTTTGGCTTCTCTGATTTATTTGTAACACCTTCAGAGGTCCGATAGACAAGTTCTGTTCAGGAAGTCACAAGACTGTAATATCAACTACTCTTCTTTCCTTGAAGAACCAGAAATATATTATTAATTTATTACAATATTAAGCTCTTAGAAACATGGTAAATTAGAATGAACATGGGTTTTAAAGCAAGACGGTTAGGTTTCAAAACAAGCTCTGTCATAACCAGTTGTTTAATACCATGTAATGCGATTGAAACTCAATTTCTTCATGTAAACCTGATATACCTTGCTGGGTTACTAGCATATGGTTATTAAATGTGACAGTGAAGGTAAAACACCTCGCTCAATGTCTGCATAGATGGGGACCTAGAAACTAGCCACATGCTTCTTAGTGTTATTATAAATAATAAAGACATTAAATGATGACACTATTAATTGCAGCAAGACCAAACAAACATAAGATACTGCTATAAAAGAAGTTTAGTTCTTTATAAAAATACTTCATTTGAACAAGATGCTCTCACAGTTATGGTGAACTTGAACTGGACTCTCTTCCTGTGGTCAGATGCCTCCTACAGCAAGTCCTCCTTACACTACATTATTAAAAATGCTGTGCTCACATGAAGTCATTTAGTCATCAGGCAGCCCTAGGGATTGATTGGTATTATTGCACTCACTGTACAGGTAAGGGCATTTACATTTTGAGAGGGAAATATTCGACCCACAGTCACATAGCTTGTCAGTGAGGAGCTCAAGTTTGAAGCCATGTGGGCTAATTCCCAAACTTGCAATTTCAAATGGTGCTCTAACAATGCTTTTGAGACATCAAATTGCAATTCAAGCTTGTCATTTGTGCAAGCTGAGAAATTAAATCGCCCTCACCCTCATTTTTAAATCAAGTAAGGGGATTCTTAAAGCTTATCTTTCTTCGGACAAAAAAAAGGCTATTCATAGTAAGAACAGAAAAGCATTATCAACAGTGACATCTATGTCACCAAACTCTACATTAGGTTCTTTCTAAGAGCTTTAATTTAATCTTAAAAAGTATAACTAGCTGATTCGCTTATCAGGACACACGTCTCAGTCCTCTAACCGAGAAATGCTAGGAACTGGGCATATGGGTCCTTCCTGCTCCCTTGGTGCTTTGCTCTAGCCTGCCCCTCCCCCTCGCCTCCCTCTGTACCTCTCAGGCAGGTCCAGTGAACCGTTCTGCCCAGTGTTGAAGCTGAGGACCAACTCTGAAGAGAGCCCTAATTATCAAACGATTTGCTCACAACTTTTTAGACTTGTTTCTTTTAAACAATGCCACTTATAAAACTCCTTTCAAATACATAAACAGGGCATACCCACTAAAACAGGCAGAGCGAAGATTGGTTTGACTGTTTTGATTAACTCGACTGCTCAAGTCAGTCAAAAAGTAATCACCAGTTAAGCAAACCATTTTGACAGATTCTTGGCCCACTGTGACTGCTTGTTTGACTGGCTTGCCTGTCAGGTGAAAGTGGTCAGATTGACTGGAGACAATCTATCTGGAAAATTATCTTCGGAGGACGTGGGTGTCTGTACACCAGAATTTACTTTAAATAACTTTATTTGAAATCTGTACCTATTTTCCTGGGACCAGTGAGAGAAGTTTGAAAGTGACACATTGTAGCATTTGTCTTTCTAGAGTGAGATGTCTCTTCACTTGCTAGGGCTGGCAATATATTTATAGGCTAAAAAATAACCACACATTTCCCTATGCACAGATAGAGTTCAATTACATTGAAACTCTACCCTAACTTGGGCAAGCGCTAACAAGCCATCATATCCTCTTCCTCTTCTGAAGGGTTGACGCTAGACATATGACAGCAAATGACTTCTCAGAAATCAGGTTACCAATCCAGTCATGAATGACTTGTGGTAAGAAAAAGTTGACCTTGCCACTAATCATAGTTCTTCTTAGAAGAAGAGTTTGAGAGAAGGAAGCCACCACAACAAAAACAGCAAACAAAACCTTTGAGGAGGTAAGAGAATCTAGTTGCCATTATTATTTGAGCTACTTTTAAAAATCAAGCCCATGTATATATCCATGCTTATGTTCCCCTAGGAAATTTACTTTGAAACAAGCTTCCAAGTTTGGGCAAGACAAACACACCACTGTAAATATAGGGAGAATGATGTATTCACACATTTATGGGGAGAATATAATAGGTTTGTTGTCTGCTGTAAGCACAGTGTTATAAGGTCTGGCCTAAGTGGTTGAGTATTCTAGTCCATTTACATTGATCATTTGAAATATCCTGTTATTGTTTGAAAGACTTTCATGTGCTGCTTTCCAACACTCCTAAAATTCTAACTTTTTCCATGAAAATGTCTTGTACATGTGCAGGACTTAGATGCTACTCTGTGTACTTTTATTAAATAAGTTCAATGGTAAGATTAGATGGAAGTTAGGGCCAGAGTATCGGTAATGAATAACATGATGGCACTGTTCTCAAAATAGCTTACTTAAAAGTCATAGTTTCTTTTGTGTTAGAATCACTTGATGTATCATTCTATTTTTTAAAAAAAATTTTGATTAATAGCTGGAAAGAAAGCTTACTTTAGCCTTGCTTTCAAAGGTTTTGCTTTTTAGTAATTTTATGATTGTTTTAAGCAATAAGCCCTTGGACCTGAGTAAAAGTAAGAAGCAAATTACGTGTCATAGTTTAAAGAATGCTAGAGAGAGTCCATCAGGGTATATACATTTAAAATTTTATATGCTCACTACATTTTAGAGTCATTACTAGTAATGTTTCAATGATCATCTTGATGCTTCAAATGTTTTACACCTCAAGGATCATTTCCTTTGGCTATGAAAATGTACAAATTTACCTCTCTGGCAACAACTCATGTTGCTGCCTGTTGCATTGTTCCCTGTTCATCATTCGGTATTATCATTTAAAGAGTTTTTTTAAATTTGAAATGGAAACAACTTCATTTTAATAATTATTCTGATGAAAAACAAAATCTCAGTCGTGAGACCAGTGAATATTTGAAAGCTTGCTTTGCTTTAGAGCTCCTTAACCTAAGCATTATCTTCACTTTCTGAAGCGTAGAGCATAGAGAACAATGCTGCTCACATCACTGTTGTGAGGGTTGCGTGAGGCAAGACTGGTAGTGCTCCAAGTTCTGTGCCTGACACTAAGCAAAATATCCATACTCACCAGCAATGTATGCCATTTTTATCACTCTGATTATTAACATAGTTTTTACTTTAAAAATATATTTTATTGACTTCAGAGAGGAAAGGAGAGGGGGAGAGAGATAGAAACAGCAATGATGAGAGAGAATCATTGATTGGCTTCCTTCTGTATGCCCCTACTGGGGATCAAGCCTACAATCCCAGTATGTGTGGACCAGAATCAAACCCAGGACCCTTCAGTCCAAAGGCTGACACTATCCACTGAGCCAAACCAGCTACGGCAACATAGTTTTCACTTTAAAGAGACTGCCAAAATAGAGATAAGCAGACATGGATGAGTTGATTTTTAACTTTGTGCTACTTTAATAACTTTAGGTATCTCCTCAGTAAAAAGTGTTAAATAGGGGATCACAAGCATAAGGGATCAAATATGAGATATATGAGATCATGAAAGGGATCCACGCATAAGAAAGTGCTGTGTAAATTGTAAAATGTTGTATAAAAACACATTTTACTCTAAGTCTTATTCACTTTATTGATTATTGCCTTTGGGTTCCATGCCAGTTGTTTGCCCTCCCTATAATTTTGTGGCTGCATATCTAAAAATTCAGTTTCAATGACAGAGAAGACACACCAACTGTGACACTGCTGGTGAAAATAATGAAAATGGTGGAAGTGTTTAAAAATCATGCCCTGGCCGGTTTGGCTCAGTGGATAGAGCGTCAGCCTGCGGACTTGGGAGTCCCGGGTTCGATTCTGGTCAAGGGCATGTACCTTGGTTGCGGGCACATCCCCAGTAGGGAGTGTGCAGGAGGCAGCTGATCAATGCTTCTCTCTCATCGATGTTTCTAACTCTCTATCCCTCTCCCTTCCTTTCTGTAAAAAAAAATCAATAAAATATATTTTAAAAAAATCAAATGATTTATGTCAGGCATCACTGTCTTTAAGTCTCGTGCCAAGGGTGCCAGGTTTTGGTTGGTGCACGCATGTGGCCCCCACGACACATATTTCCAAAAGCATCCTGGCCAGAACGATGAGTTCCACCACCTCAGACTCTGGGAATTTGACCCACAGCTCTGCTAGGACCCCGGGACTCGGCACTGGTTCGATGCCCTGCCAATTCACTGACAGCATAGGGCTGGTCTATTTTTTTTTTTTTTTTGGCAAGTTGGTGGGCACAAAGTTCACAATATCTGGTAAAATGGGAGCTTGAACATAGCAGGCAAAGTGACATTTTTGCCAGATGTTTCCCCCTTTTCAGAGTACACGGAGATCAGTGGATGAGCACATGCCATGGCGGGGAGAGGAGAAGGCCATACTCCATTTGCCATACTTTTGAGAGCTAGCATGGACATACCTTGTGGGTGAGGAAAATAAAAGATACAAGGAAGACTATCTAATTTCTGGGTTGAGAAATTGGATGAATAATGATGCCATTAACTGAAGACTGGGGAGAAACAGGTTTTGAGGGAATAATCATGAGTATTTGGGCATATAAATTTTAAATTTCGAGATATTTGTAGTAATCTCTCTCTCTCTCTCTCTCTCTCTCTCTCTCTCTCTCTCTCTCTGTTCCTCTCCCTCTAATATATATAAAGCTGAACCTGCAAAGAAAGAAAATTTAGGATTTACATTCTGTTAGTGTGTAAATTGTATTTAAGCTGTGGAAACAGATAACATCAGCCACAGTGAGAAGAAGAGAGAAGGTGCCTAGTGAGGAGCCCTGCGGCACCTCCAATTCACTTCTCAAGCCGCTGTGTTCCAGGGTCCTTCCTCATGGGCCATCTGAACAGAAATACAGATTTGGGAGTCAGGCATGTAGGAGGTGTTTGAAATCATGAGAACAGATGCTTCCTCTGAGAGAGTGTGGAGAGAGAAGAAAACGTGCAAGTGCTGAGTCCCCCCCGCCCCCTCACCAGCCTCTGAGATCATTCTTCCGAGGAGCATCAGTGACCCAATTATTCCCCCGTCCATCAGCAATATTTTCTGCGCTTTCTCTTCCCGCATCCCTGTAGCACAGGACTTTTTAACCACTTCTTTCTTCCTTATTTTGTCTTTGTCATGTCACTCTGTACTAATTTTTTAAATATTTTTTTTGAGATTCCTTTAGTCTTTCCTGTGTATTGCATGTAGGTGTTTCTCAGAGGTTTTACTTCCTATTTTATCTTTTTAATTTTAATTCTTCATCCTGTGTAGCTTGATCTAAAACCCTGACTGAACGACTTCTTCTAAGCTGACAACCAAATCTGTATTTCTAAATCCACACATTTAACTGTTTACCAGATCTCTGTCCTGGGAGACATCCAGATTTCATTGAAATTATAATCTTTTCATTAAAACTTTGCCTCAATTCCTTATTTTGGTAACTGCCATCTTCTTCACCAGTTCCCCTTTCATACTTAAGCATTTTATGTGACTCTTTTTTCCTCTTCACTATATGTATAAATGAATCAGAAGTCATATATATAATTCCTCTATATCAGGGGTAATATTTGACCTATCTTTTCAATATTAAATACTATTGACTTAACTTGGACCCTTTTTCTTCTCTCCTGAAATATTAATGAAAACTCCTAAATATACTTTTTGCACCCAGTCTGGTTTTTCCATAATTCAGGCTCTATATCGTTGCCTGAGAGATATTTCTGAAATACTAGTTGATCATGTTACCATCCTGTTAAAAGCATTTTATGGTACATCAAGGCTATAAGCTTAGGGTGATATTTATTCCTCTTTATGAGCTGACTTCTGTCTAATTTTCCATTTTCATCTGTCCTCACCTATACTTTCTTGAGATTATACTAAAAGAGAAGAAAGAAAGAAAAAAGAAAGAAAGAAAGAAAGAAAGAAAGAACAAAGAAAGGAAGGAAGGAAGAAAGAAGGAACAAAGAAAGGAAGGAAGGAAGAAAGGTGAACAGAAGAAAGATGAAAGAAAGAAATAAAGAGGAAGAAGAAAGAAAGAAAGAAAGAAAGAAGGGAAAAAGAGAAAGAAAAGAACAAAGGAGGGTAGAAAAGAAGAGAAGAAGAACATTTTGCTTCTTTTACTGGACTATTTTAATAGCCTTGAGAAGTTAAAGGTGTTAGATTTAGAGAGCTGACAGTAGAAAAGAAGGGAAGAAGAACATTTTGCTTTTATAACTTCTTTTACTGGACTATTTTAATAGCCTTGAGAAGTTAAAGGTGTTAGATTTAGAGAGCTGACCTCTGTTAGGATTTTCTTCAGCTATGATGGGTAAATCTCATACTGCCATCATTTCCCCGCAGGGTGTTTCTTAAAAGCCATCAACAAAATTCTTACTGCTACAAGAATGAGAAAATAGAACTTGGAATCAAATTAAAAAGGAGTACATACATATTAGTTTTCTATTGCCACTGCAATAAAATTCCACAACCTTAGACTTAAAATGGCACACGTTACCTTATGTAGAGGGCAGGACTCTGCAATATTTTTCACGGAGCTCAAATCAAAGTAGCACCAGGGCTTAGTTTCTTTCTGGAGGTTCTGGGAGAGAACCTTTTCCTCGCCTTTTCCAGCTCCCAGAGGCCGCCCAGTTCCTTGGCTCCCTGTGTATCACTGTGGCCTCTGCTTCCAGAGCCATGTCTCCTCCTGTTCAATTCTGACCCTCTTGTCTCCCTCTAATGAGGGCCCTCCCAGATAGTACATTGGGCCCGTCCAGATGATACAAAATAATCTCTCCATCTAAAACTCCTCAATTTCATCACACGCACAGAGCCCCTTTCATAATGTAAGCTCACATAGCCACAGGTGGGAGTGTTACTGTGCAGACATCTTTGTTGAGGAAGGCATTATTTTAACTACCACAGAAATTGTAAATAATT